CCGAAAAGTCAATATTTAAGGAGTTATGGCCATTTTAGAATACTCAATAATTCAACCTCAAAAAAAGCGAACACAAATAATAGCTAAAAAACGCCGAAAAGTCAATATTTAAGGAGTTATGGATACTTTAAAATTGTCAATAATTCAACATCAAAAAGTGATCACAAATAATAACTAAAACGCCGAAAAGTCAATATTTAAGGAGTTATGGCCATTTTAAAATATTCAATAATTCAACCTCAAAGAAGTGATCAAGAAGAATAGCTAAAACGCCGAAAAGTCAATATTTAAGGAGTTATGGCCATTTTAAAATATTAAATAATTCAACCTGAAAAAAGTGATCACAAATAATAGCTAAAAACGCCAAAAAGTCAATATTAAAGGAGTTATGGTCATTTTAAAATATTCAATAATTCAACCTCAAAAAAGTGATCACAAGTAATAGCTAAAAACGCCGAAAAGTCAATATTTAAGGAGTTATGGCCATTTTAGAATATTCAATAATTCAACCTCAAAAAAGTGATCACAAATAATAGCTAAAAATGCCAAAAAGTCAATATTAAAGGAGTTATGATCATTTTAAAATATTCAATAATTCAACCTCAAAAAAGTGATCACAAATAATAGCTAAAAACGCCGAAAAGTCAATATTAAGGCGTTATGGCCATTTTAGAATATTCAATAATTCAACCTTAAAAAAGTGATCACAAATAATAGCTAAAACGCCGAAAAGTCAATATTTAAAAAGTTATTGGCATTTTAAAATTGTCAATAATTCAACCTCAAAAAAGTGATCACAAATAATAGCTAAAAACGCCGAAAAGTCAATATTTAAGGAGTTATGGCCATTTTAAAATATTCAATAATTCAACCTCAAAAAAGTGATCACAAATAATAGCTAAAAACGCCAAAAAGTCAATATTAAAGGAGTTATGGTCATTTAAAATATTCAATAATTCAACCTCAAAAAGTGATCAAAATTAATAGCTAAAAACGCCGAAAAGTCAATATTTAAGGAGTTATGGCCATTTTAGAATATTCAATAATTCAACCTTAAAAAAGTGATCACAAATAATAGCTAAAACGCCGAAAAGTCAATATTAAGGAGGTTATGGCCATTTTAAAATATTCATAATTCAACCTCAAAAAAGTGATCACAAATAATAGCTAAAAACGCCGAAAAGTCATATTTAAGGAGTTATGGCCATTTTAGAATACTCAATAATTCAACCTCAAAAAAGCGAACACAAATAATAGCTAAAAACGCCGAAAAGTCAATATTTAAGGAGTTATGGATACTTTAAAATTGTCAATAATTCAACATCAAAAAAGTGATCACAAATAATAACTAAAAACGCCGAAAAGTCAATATTTAAGGAGTTATGGCCATTTTAAAATATTCAATAACTCAACCTTAAAAAAGTGATCACAAATAATAGCTAAAACGCCGAAAAGTCAATATTAAGGAGTTATGGATACTTAACATTGTCAATAATTCAACATCAAAAAAGTGATCACAAATAATAACTAAAAACGCCGAAAAGTCAATATTTAAGGAGTTATGGCCATTTTAAAATATTCAATAATTCAACCTCAAAGAAGTGATCAAGAAGAATAGCTAAAAACGCCGAAAAGTCAATATTTAAGGAGTTATGGCCATTTTAAAATATTAAATAATTCAACCTGAAAAAAGTGATCACAAATAATAGCTAAAAAACGCCAAAAAGTCAATATTAAAGGAGTTATGGTCATTTTAAAATATTCAATAATTCAACCTCAAAAAAGTGATCACAAGTAATAGCTAAAAACGCCCGAAAAGTCAATATTTAAGGAGTTATGGCCATTTTAGAATATTCAATAATTCAACCTCAAAAAAGTGATCACAAATAATAGCTAAAAATGCCCAAAAAGTCAATATTAAAGGAGTTATGATCATTTTAAAATATTCAATAATTCAACCTCAAAAAGTGATCACAATAATAGCTAAAAAACGCCGAAAAAGTCAATATTTAAGGCGTTATGGCCATTTTAGAATATTCAATAATTCAACCTTAAAAAAGTGATCACAAATAATAGCTAAAAACGCCGAAAAGTCAATATTTAAAAAGTTATTGGCATTTTAAAATTGTCAATATTCAACCTCAAAAAAGTGACTCACAAATAATAGCTAAAAAACGCCGAAAAGTCAATATTTTAAGGAGTTATGGCCATTTTAAAATATTCAATAATTCAACCTCAAAAAGTGATCACAAATAATAGCTAAAAACGCCAAAAAGTCAATATTAAAGGAGTTATGGTCATTTTAAAATATTCAATAATTCAACCTCAAAAAAGTGATCAAAATTAATAGCTAAAAACGCCGAAAAGTCAATATTTAAGGAGTTATGGCCATTTTAGAATATTCAATAATTCAACCTTAAAAAGTGATCACAAATAATAGCTAAAAACGCCGAAAAGTCAATATTTAAGGAGTTATGGCCATTTAACATATCAATAATTCAACCTCAAAAAGTGATCACAAATAATAGCTAAAAACGCCGAAAGTCAATATTTAAGGAGTTATGGCCATTTTAGAATACTCAATAAGTCAACCTCAAAAACGCGAACACAAATAATAGCTAAAACGCCGACAAAGTCAATATTTAAGGAGTTATGGATACTTTAAAATTGTCATAATTCAACATCAAAAAGTGATCACAAATAATAACTAAAAACGCCCGAAAAGTCAATATTTAAGGAGTTATGGCCATTTTAAAATATTCATAACTCAACCTTAAAAAGTGATAACAAATAATAGCTAAACGCCGAAAAGTCAATATTTAAGGAGTTATGGACATTTTAAAATATTCAATAGCTCAACCTCACAAAAGTGATCACAAATAATAGCTGAAAACGCCGAAAAGTCAATATTTAAGGAGTTATGGCCATTTTAAAATATTCAATAATTCAACTCAAAAAGTGATCACAACTATAGCTAAAACGCCAAAAAAGTCAATATTAAAGGAGTTATGGTCATTTTAAAATATTCAATAATTCAACCTCAAACAAAGTGATCACAAATAATAGCTAAAAACGCCGAAACAGTCATATTTAAGGAGTTATTGCCATTTTAGATATTCAATAATTCAACCTCAAAAAGTGATCACAAATAATAGCTAAAACGCCCGAAAAGTCAATATTTAAGGAGTTATGGTCATTTTAAAATATTCAATAATTCAACCTCAAAAAAGTGATCACAAATAATAGCTAAAACGCCAAAAGTCAATATTAAGGAGTTATGGCCATTTTAGATACTCAATAATTCAACCTCAAAAAGCGACACAAATAATGCTAAAAACGCCGAAAAGTCAACTATTTAAGGAGTTATGGCCATTTTAAAATATTCAATAAGTGAATCTCAAAAAGTGCTCACAATAATAGCTAAAAACGTCGAACCGTCAATATTTAAGGAGTTATGGCCATTTTAAAATTGTCCAATAATTCAACCTCAAAAAAGTGGATCACAAATAATAGCTAAAAACGCCGAAAGGTCAATATTTAAGGAAGTTATGGCCATTTTAACATTTCAATAAGTAACTCTCAAAAAAGTGATCACAAATAATAGCTAAAACGTCCGAAAAGGTCCATATTTTAAGGAGTATGGCCATTTTAGAATATCAATAATTCAACCTCAAAAAAGTGATCACAAATAATAGCTAAAA